GCCCATTTCCCCAGTTCTATGCTGGATTTTTGTCTGAGAGTCTGCATGTCACCATTGCTGCAAGTTCACATGAGCAAGTTCCCAGAGACTTGGTGCCGGGGGTTCGAACCAGTGACCCCTGGGCAGTGATGATTGGGGATGAGTAAGCATGCCGTTCGCCAGCCCATGCCGCCCCCAGTACCGAGGACACTCAGACACAGTGGGGAGTCTAGTCAAGCAGGGACTCATTTATTGCAGGTGTTACAGAGCTTATACAGGCACCTGGAACTCCCCCCTCCCCCACTGAGGGTGTATCTTAAGGATGGTCACGTGCTGATCATGCACTCCTCAGCAGTGTGGAAGTATTCTTCAGACTTTCAAAGCAAGCCAGGCTGCGCCCCCAGTAACTTCCTTTTGGACCTATGCAAGGTGGGGCCTTTAGGTCCCCACAACTTGGAAGACTCTGTTTCCTTATGTTCATGCACCAACCCTGGCTCTTACAATCTTTCCACCCTCTTTTTTTCCACAGTGGTCCCTGAGCCGTGGGTGAATGAGGTTTAATATAGGAGTCCTACCCAGGGACATGCACTCTGAAGTCTCATTCTCCACACCTTGGCCAGTTGTGGCCTTCTGTGTGCATCACACTCTATTGCATGAGGAAGCTTCACTAGTAAGAGCTGAGAGATGTATTGGTATTCTTTCTACTCCCTGCGCTGCTATGTTCCATGAGCCTTAGGTGTAGAGGTTCCACTGTAGATGTGTCACTTAGGGCTGGGCATCTCTCAGACACATATTCTCTGTGTGTGACCAGTTGTGGAACTCTGTAATAGGCTCCATCTGTTGCACAAAAAAGAAGTTTCTTTGATGAGTGATGAATGGAATACTTGTCTGTAAATATAATGATCCATATTTAGAAGAAAGTGTTAGAAATTACGTTTGTCTAGAGATATGACAGAGAAAGGGTTTTCTCTAGGATCTCTGACCTCTCCAGTCATATGTATTTGGCAATGTTTACAGCCACCTATGAGTTCCTCCCATTGAGAGGGCTTTAAGTCCAATTAGATAACTGTTGATTTCTACCCCCTCCCCAGGAAATTTTGAGAGCTAATCTTCAGGGAGGAGGTTTCCAAGTCAGTTCCAGCTCCATTGCTGCAAGTCCTGTGTCTGAAGTATGTCTTGTCTTCAGCAATAGGGCCTTACCTTCAAATTCTGGGAGGCGATCAAGGGCTGCGGCAACAGTCTGTAATTTTTATGGAATCTCTTGGCCCACCCTGACCAATAACTCGAAGGGAGGTTTCTTCTTTCTGGTGCTGTGTTTCTTGTTATAGAGCCTTCCACTATACAGGTGCACTCACATACAGGTTTCGTATGTGTCTTTTTCAGTAGGCTTTTAAACTAGTACATTTCCCTCTGGTTTTTTTTTTTTTTACTACTGGAGCATTATTTATCTCTTCTCTCTCCCTGTCTAACCTTCCCTCCTCCCTCTCCAATTAAAGTACCCTAATTTTCTCCATTTCCTCCTTGATATTACCTGTCTGCTATCATCCCCCCACCATTTTGAACTCCTTCTTCCCTCATGTGTCCTTGTATAACCCACCCTCCTCCCTTCCCAGTTAAATACCCCATTTTTCCCATTTTCCCCTAGGAAACACCTGTTTCCTATTGTTTCCCTCTTTCAGATTTTTTTAAATTTATTATTTTTATTTTATGTGTATGAGTGTTATTGCCTGCATGTATGCAAGTGCACCCATGTTGTGCAATGCTGCAGAGGTCAGAAAAGGGCTTTGGAATCCCCTGGAACTGGAGTTAAGGACGGTTCATAGCCATCATGTGGGCACTGGGACTCAAACCCGGGTCCTCTGCAAGAGCAGTCAGTGCTCTTAACCGCTGAGCCATCTCTCCAGCCCCACCCCCTTTCAGAATTTTTTCAAGCTGGATTAGTCACTTTTCTGTTGCTGTGATAGAAACACTGACCAATGCAATTTATAGAAAGAAGAATTTATTTGAGCTTACATTCCAGAGGAATTACAGTCTGTCTTGGCGGGGAGGTATGGTGGCAGAGGTGGCTGGAGCAAGAGCAGCAGAAGCTAAGCTCTCACATCATCACACAGGCACAGGAAGCAAAAGAACAACTGGAGATCTGACAAGGCTTAAGAACTCTCTCAGCCCACCCCCAGTGACGTGCTTCCTCCAGGATAGCCACACCTTCTAAAACCTCCCAAAACAGTGCCATCATCTGGGGACAAAATGTCCAAATACTTGGAGCCTATGGGGGACATTTTCATTCAAACCATCACACAAGCCATAGTGGCATTTTGTTGAGAGCCACCACTGCAGCCATCTTGGTCTTTTAACTACTCTCCCCCATTCAATTGCCAAGTACCTCCTCCACTGCGTCCAGCTTGTCACTTGAGTGTTGCCAATGGCGGATGGTCATGGGTGTGCCACACAGTGGTCATTTGGAGGCCCAGCACCTGGCAAGAGAAGTGGCCAAGAGGGGTGGACTGGGTAGGGTACCAAGGTGGTTTCAACAAGCTGGCTGTGTGTTACAGTCCATGGCTCCACCCACCCTTTTTTTGGTATTTTGTGACAAGGTCTCACTATGTATTCTGGGACTGGCCTGGAACTTGCTATGTAGACTAGGCTGGCCTGGAACTTACAAACAATCCTCCTGCCTCTGTCAATATTAAGGTTACAGATATGCACCAACCACCACAACCTGCCCTGGTCCTCTCTTTACTTTTTATTTTGAGGCAGTATCTACACAAGTTACTCAGACTGGCCTTAAACTCACTCTTTGGCCCAGACAAGCCTCGAAGTTATGATCCTCTGCCCCAGCCTCCTGAATACTGAGGTCACAGACATGCACCATCATACCCAGCAATATACACAAACTTTAATTTTGTAGTAATATTCTTATATAAGTTTGACAGTGGGCTTTTTCTTATTTTCGGTACTCCATAGAAACAGATTCTAAGCTGACCGTGGTGGTGCATGCCTTTAATCCTAGGACCCAGGAGGCAGAGGCAGGATCTCTGTGAGATCAACATCAGCCTGATCTAGTGAGTTCCAGGCCAGCTGGGCTACAGATAGACACTGTCTCAAAAAGACAAAATAAGCTGGGTGTGGTGGCACACACCTTTAATCCCAGCACTCAGGAGGCAGAAGCAGGCGGATTTCTGTGAGTTCAAGGCCAGCCTGGTCTACATAGCGAGTTCCAGGACAGCTGGGGCTACAGGGAGACCCTGTCTCAAAAAGACAAAAAAAAAAAAAAGACAAACAACAACAAAACCCCCAAACCAAACCAAACAACAAAAACCAGATTCTAACATCCATATCTTGAAAAGCAATAAGATAATGAATTGATATTAATAAAAAATATATTTCACTCCAGCAAAATTAAATATGAATGTTCATCAAATAGAAACCATTTCCTTAAAGAATAACTCTACTGCCTTTATTTTCTTACTGTTTAGTTATTTATTAAATATGTATTATATGGGCTGTTATATCCAAATGAACTGCCATTTTCCTTATAATAAAGGTAAGAAGAGTCTTAAAAAATAAAAGTTAAACTTTTTAAAATAGCTTTTTTATTGATTCTTTGAAAATTTCATGCAATGTATTTTGATCCTATTCAGACCCCCTCCCATAGGAACCCTCTCCCGCCTCCTCTCAGACCCACCCCTACTATCCTGTCATGTCCTCTAGTTTTTTGTTGTTTTGTTTTGGTTTGGTTTGGTTTGGTTTTTTTGTTTTTTTTTGTTTAGAGTGATGCTGGCTTCATAGAACCCTGTAGTCCCAGCTGGCCTAGAACTCACTAAGTAAACCAGGCTGGCCTTGAATTTACAGAGATCCACCTGCCTCTGCCTCCCCAGTGCTGGGATTAAAGGTGTGTGCCACTATGCCCAGCTTTTGTTTCTGTTTTTTAAGGTCTATCAACACACAAACACACACACACACACACTGATGTGCCAGGCTTTTGGGGGAGAACTGACACAAATATCTGTTAGCCCCAGATAAAGAACTAAGCAATGATTCTACCAAAGTTCAACTTGGCTCTAATTTTATTTCTTTTATTTTTTTAATATTTTATTTTCTATTTTCATTTTATATGTATGAGTGTATTACTTGCATGTATGTGAGTGCACCTGTGTCATGCAGCACCTCGGAGGTCAGAAGAGAGCTTTGGATTCCCCTAGAACCAGAGTTAATGATGGTTTGTAGCCACCATGTGGGTGCTGGGAATCAACCCCAGGTCCTCTGCAAGAGTAGTCAGTGCTCTTAACCACTGAGCCATCTCTCCAGCCCCTAATTTTATCTCTTTTTTAAAAAGTGTATGAGTGTTTTGCCTGCTTGTGTATAAGTGCACCCGTGTCTTGCAGTGCCTATATTTTATGTGTATGTGTGTGTTGCCTGCATGTAGGTAAGTGCACCCGTGTGGTGCAATCCCCACGGAGGCTGTCGGATCCCCTGGAACTGGAGTTACGGACAGCTGTTAGCTGCCATGTGGGTGCTGGGATTCAAACCTGGGCCTTCTGTAAGAACAGTCAGTGTTCTTAACTGCTAAAAGAAAACAGTGGAGAGCTCCAAACTTATTTTGTCTAAAATTCCATGATACATTTCACTTCCTTATGTCACTGGGCGATTCTGCTGCTGGTGAATCTAGGGATGTAGGGATGTAGGAATGTAGAGGATGTAGATTTGTATTTATTGCTCTTTTTAAAGAAATGGTCAAGAATATTGACTTATTTCATCAAACATGCAACATTTCATTTTTTCCTAAAAGTTCTTAAAGTGTTGCATATTCACCTGAACTCATGGCAGCTTCTGAGAACTACGTTTCAAGAATTTGAACAATTTGAAAAAGTGTACAAAACAATTTAGATGACTCTAGAAATTATCTGGAATTGATTGTTTAATAGTGAAATAGTTAATATGTTACAAAACAAGTGGTTGGCAGTTTACTTTCACTGCCCATTAGATAAAATAAAAACCGGTAGATCTGAAATACGATCAGAGTTCAAGGAGTAGAGGGCTCAGACACACTCTTTTCTGACTCTCTCTCCACCATGAGGGGAAACCAGGTATCCAAGTCTGTATTGCTTCTGTTTCTGTTCCTTCTTGGGGATGCTTCAGCCACTGCAAAACCGTAAGCAATTCTTATTTCCAGAAAATTCTATTGCCTCTCTATTTCCCACAGTGTTATTTTTCTCCTGCTCCTTATTTGTTGGTTTCTTATGCAGTTATCTGTTGTCAAAAAGGACTTGAAAGAACCAGTAAATTGTTATCTGTCACACAGAAGGATGTATACTCAATTCTAGAAAACTTAGCAATATAGGGCTATAATATTGTCAAATATTCACCAAGACAGATGGATGAGATTTGTGACTCTTTTCACTGAGTCTTTCAGAAAACCATCAAGGGCTGATAGCTCAGTACAGAAAAAGAGATAGCTGGTGCACAGACAAAAAAGAAATAATAAGCCCCAAACAAAAGGAGGCATTGCAGGAGTCTGTAAAAAGACTTACCAAAGAAATTTGAGCAATTTGTGGGACCTGATGTAAGGAAGGGGACTTTACCAAGCTCTGTGTAAAGTTCTTTTGAAAGTCATAAGACTTATGAAGAGAGTAACTTTTCCAGATGGACACTCAGAAAGCAAAAGGCATGTGAAAGCATACAGCATAGTAAAGTGCAGTATGTTTGGGTGACTGTAAGTGAAAGACAAACAGTGACGGGAAGGCCGGTTTTCTCTTGGCAGTGTCCGGTGATGAGTCTGCTGATTAACTTAGCTTGGCTTGGCTTACATCACCAAAAGAGGGAAAGAGGGAGCTAAGGTTGCTTCTTAAACAGAAATACAAAGCAATTTAGCTTCTCCCCAGGTGCTACATGTTAGGTTTCTAGTGTTTCCTGGGTAAGAGATTTGTGATATCCTTATGAAACCCAAGACCACATGCAGATGGTTTCTGAATGCTTTCGGTGATGAGCCATTGATTAATTCATGGTTTGTAAATTTGAAATTACTTTAAATTTTCTGATTTTTTAATTTTTATTTTATAATACGTGTTTTGCCCATGTGTATGTAAGGGCACCTGTGTGTGCAATGCCTGTGGAGGCCAGAAGAGGGCATCAGATCCCCTAGAAATGGAGCTACAGATGGTTGTTAGCCACCATGTGGGTGCTGTGAACTGAACCCAAGTCCTCTGCAAGAGCAGTCAGTGCTCTTAACCTCCAGGTCATCTCTCCGGTCCAAAGTTTCTAATCAAAATTTATAACTATTGCTCAGACTTTTCCTGGGTAGACCTGACACAAGAATCTACTCACCCCAGATAGGAAACCAACCACAGACCAAAGTAGTGATTCTACCAAAGTCCAACTTGGTGAACCAATGAGTTTTATTTGATTATTTACAAGAGAATGGGCAAACATTACTTACAGGAGCAGAAATAACTCAAAAACTGTTGCTTCTTCAATAAGCCCACCCCAGCTAGGGTGCTGACTCATGAAGGCTGCAACTCTGGGGCTCTCTGCCTAACATACAGAAAGCTCAGCTGCTGGGAGAAACTCATCCAGGAAGCTTAGCTTCCTGTCTTCTCCTGAGAAACTGTTTATGGCTTCTATAACCCTGGGGAGGTGTTATTTACTTCCTGTGTCTCATGAGTCTCCTTGTTCCCTCCAGAAGGGAATGTTTCAATCATTATACAACAATACACATGTATTGATTACCCACGGTGTCTAATATTCTATGGGTAAACCAGTGCTTAATCTGGAGTTTTTAATAGTAACCTGTGGGGAATGCAATCTTGCTGAAATCATGTTCTGCTCTACTGTTGATGACACTATGAAGGTTTTCTAGAACACAATAATGATGTCTTTTGAGCCCTCCATGGTTTATCCTCTTCGTCACAGACAATACGTGGTCCTGGTCCCATCACAGCTCTATGCTAGAGTTCCTGAAAAGGCCTGTGTCAACCTCCATCACCTGAATGAGACGGTGACGCTCACTGTAACTCTGGAGTATGAAACATATCACATGAAACTTTTCACAGACCTGGCGGTGGAGAAGGATTCCTTCTATTGCAGCCCTTTCATTGTCAGTAATTTCAAATTATATTAAGAATGAAAGTTCTACTGAAAATGCTTATATAACACTAGCAGATTTAATGCAGTATTTGAAAGGTAATCAAAGATACAGGAAAGATTTAATTTGACCTTAAGATGAACATCTGAGGTAAATAATATTCATGCTGTTACAGATATAAATGCTGAGATTCTTTTAAGATTTATTTTTATTTTTAAGTTATGTGTCTGTATGGGTTTGTGCACATGAATGCAGGTACCCACAGAGGCCGGAAGAGGGCATCAGATCCCCTAGAGATGGAGGTATAGTTGTAAGCTGCCTGACCTGGGTGCTGGGAACGAGACACAGATCCTCTGCAACAGCAGTATGTGCTCTTAACTGCTGAGCCATCTCCTCAGCCTCTAAATACTGAAATTCATTTTTTCTTTTATTTAATTATTTTTATTTTATGTGTATGAATGTTTTGCCTAAATGCATGTAAGTGCACCCATGTGTGAAATGTCTATGGAGACTAGAAGATGGCATCAGACCTCTGGAACTGGAGTTACAGATCGTTGTTAGCTGCCTTGTGGGTGCTGGGAACTGAACCCAGATCCTCTGCAAGAGTAGTCAGTGCTCTTAAAGTCAAGTTACTCATGTAAGACTGGAGGTTGGTGTGGGCCTTTGGAAGGTGGAATATAAAAATTATTTTAGTACCATATTTCTGTGAAAATGCAGAGACGCCATTTCACTCACTACAATGACTGTAATAAGGAACTGATTCCGCATCATTTTGCAATGCTTTCCCTTCGATCTAACTAGTGAACTGTTAACATCATGTTATGCAATCATACAAATCTATTGATAAAACAGGAAGCAGAGTCCTTCATGCTCCCTTACTAATTCTCAGGGATTAACAAGATAAACAGACAGTCATAGGAGCTGCTCACTCAGAAGTGGGTCTGGACAGACTCTGCACATTTCTGTCCTGCAGATCCCGGAGTTGTCATCATCTTCAGCTTTCGTTGTTGTGGAGATAAAGGGGCCAACCCAGCACTTCATGAAGAGGAAACTGATGCAGATAATAAAAGCAGAAAATCCAGTCTTTGTTCAGACAGACAAACCCATTTATAAACCAGGACAAACAGGTATAAGGAACCAAATGAGCAAGGGCAGCTCAGGCTTGGAGTGGTGTTCTTTACCACTGCTTGGCAGTCAGGACACATCTAGCTTGTTGTCATTGGCCTGGCTTCCCACTGGGGCACTCATTGAAAAAAATTTCTGTTTCAGTGAAATTCCGTATTGTCTCTGTGGACAACAATTTTCACCCATTGAATGAAACGGTGAGTTTCCTATCAGTGGGTGAGTTCAGTTGAGAAAAGCAAGCAAATACGTAAGGCTGACTCCGGAAAACCTGAAGCCATATAAGAGACGCTCAAATCTACCACAAAAGGTCTCCTAAGAGTATCCATTCCAAAACAATGTGCAGAGTCTGCATCAAGATATTCTTAAAGTAAACAAAGTATTCAAAGTCAAAGCCTGACCTGGTGATGCATGCATGTAATTCCAGAACTTGAGAAGCCGAGGTAGAAGAATCATAAGGCCCCTGGGCTACACCATGATATGTTGCAGAAAAAAAAAAAATAGTATTCAATTGAAACTGTCCTCTTAAAGATTCTAGTCATTTCCACTGAACAAAGAAGTATATGTGATATCTCCTTCCTATCCAAGTACTAACAAGTCCTGACCCTGCCTAGCTTCCAAGATCAGGGTGGTATGGCCATAGACACGTGATTTCTCTTAAACAAATATCTTTTACAAAATAATAATACACTTATTAGTTAAATCTACTTTCCAAATAGATTTCCTCAACTCTATGCTATTTATAATAAGAAAGCCATGTATGTTCCAAACTAAATATGCTAAAGGCTATGACTCAAACAAGGGCCATTTCCTAGTTTGGACAAGAAAATTCAGAGACTTGGCCCCTCTGGTCCATAAGTTTTATGAACATCGACATGATACTTTTCTCTTTCTAAATTCTATCTCTCTCATACTGTTTCTTTTTCTTTTCAGTTCCCAGTCATTTTCATTGAGGTAGGTAATAAATGGAATACCTCATCTGGAATGAGGAGCCCTACAAGTTACAATAGATTTGCTTTCTCCCTGTCCCCATGTTACCAACACTAAACAAATTCTATTTCCTTTCTTACCCCAGTCTCAGAAAAAAATGGGTAAGATGTAAACAAAGGAACTCAACTCCTTAAGATGGTATGATTCAGGGCCTCTTCAATTTCTGGCCAAAAGAGACATGCCTATCTAAAAAGGTCCAGCATGAAGTGCGGTTTGAGCTGTCTCATAGCTGGTAACTTTGTTGCCCTTTATTTAGTCTAGAATTTTTCTTTAAACGTTTGGTTACTACCTTTAGCACCAATTTACCAACCATTTATTAAATTCCCCATGCCATTTTTACATGAAAAGCTGCATCTAATCAAACTACATATTTCAGTTGTTTGCATCAGTTCATAATATCTTTCTATAGAATCCCAAGAAAAACCGAATTTTTCAGTGGCAAAGTCATAGTCTACAAGGAGGACTCAGCCAACTCTCTTTCCCACTGTCGGTGGAGCCAGTTCTGGGTACCTACAAGATCATAGTACAAAAGGAGTCGGAGAAAAAAGTAAAGCACTTCTTTGAGGTGAAAGAATATGGTAAGAATCCTACAAGTTTAAGACATTTATGACAGAGAGAGAGAGAGAGAGAGAGAGAGAGAGAGAGAGAGAGAATATGAGAATAAAGTCACAGTGGAACCTTTTCGTCCTTCTGTTTCTATATCTAATCATGATGGTCTTCAGGCTTACTGGTGTTTCATCCATCTATGAAATCTTGCACTAAGTCAGAGAAGAGGAGTCTAGGAAATGTAATCATAGCTTCACCCAGCTAGCATGGTACAAACTGCCCATGGTCATGTGTGACACCTCTTTCCCAGTATTGTCCCTGGTGCTCCTTACTGTAGTCAAGAGTCCTTTCATGTGATCCTATGTCATAAACTCCTCTTCTGAAAGTCATTAGTAATATTTACAAGTCTTGCTGACTCTTACCTCTGTTTTTATTTCTGTTCAAAACAGTTCTGCCCAAATTTGAAGTGCAAGTAAAAGCGCCCAAGACTATCTCTTTTCTAGAGGAAGAATTTAAGGTGTCTGCCTGTGCCTCGTAAGTTGCATTTCTATCTCACTTTGATCTCCGTAGTCTATTTGAGGGGATGTATTTAAATAATATTTCCTGGATTTTAAAATATTTTAACTAGGGGAAAGATAACTCTCTCCAGCTTTCTAAGCCTTCCCCAAAGAAGCAGGAACAACAGCATGTGTCACTTGGGCCACTTCTGAAATCATTCACTGGCATTTAAAACATGCCAGATAGTATTTAAGTGCCTTGGGCTGGACAGATGGCTCAGTAGTTAAGAGCACTAGCTGCTCTTGCAGACGACCGGAATTCAGTTCTCAGCACCCACATGGCAGCTAACAACTGTCCATAGCCCCAGTTCCAGGTGATCAGACGCTCTCTTCTGACCTCCTCAGGCATTGCATGACATGGGTACACTTACATACTTGCAGACAATAAGCTCATACACATAAAATACTAATAGTAAATAGCTTGTTTTAAAATATATGTAATCATTAATATAATAAAAATAACATCACTAATCCTGTGATATAAGGACAACTGTTATCCTCAATTTACAATGAGGAAAAATATATGGAGGATTAAAGGCAAAAAACTTTTTCAACTCAATGTGAATAGCAACTGGAGGCCAGAATTCAAACCCAGCAGCCCGGGTGCAAACACTGAACTCTTCACCACCACTCTACACTGCTCCTGAAACTTGAAAGAAAAAATTTGGCTTCACAGCACATTTATTATTCCTGGATCCAGTGTTCAGCTGGACCTGACCATCCAACTAAAGAGTTCAAGTTCAAATCTTGTGTTAGTCTGTGTCCTGTTCCTCCATTTTGTTTATTGCTCTGAATCTCCTAAACATGGAGAACAGCTAGGAAGAATCTAGGCATGCGTTTAATCTCTTTTAAGGCACTAGAGCATCCTCCACCACTCACAGAAAAGATGAATTTTCCCTCTTGCTTTTTAAAACAGCACAAGAAAGCTCCATCCTTCTCATGAGCCTTAATGCTTCAGATTCTGTATCAAAGGGAAAGCTTTTTGATCTAGGTTGAAAATAAGATTCATGTGGTAATTGAAATGCAGTAAATTACTGTTTGATCAGCACTTACAGGAACTGAGGTTGGTATGTAAGAACACAGTGGGTTGAGGCTAATCTTTGCCTTCCTCACAACTGAGATAAGGAGGTATTTTCAGACTTGAATCTACATCAGATCTGTGGGAGATACTTAACCAAAATTAGATTCTCTGACCCAACTTATATAAATTCTAATTACAAATCTAAGGCAAGAGTCAAGAATCTGGTATCTCAGCATGTGCCATGGGTAGTTTTGATGGAGGTGATTTACAAAGCATACCTTAAGAAACAGCAAACTAGGCTGGGCGTGGTGGTACATACCTTTAATCCTAGAACTTGGGAGGCAGAGGCAGGCGGCTCTCTGTGAGTTCCAGGACAGCCTGGTCTACCTAGTGAGTTCCAGGACAGTTGGAGCTACAGGGAGACCATGTCCAAAAAAAGACAAAAAAAAAAAGAAGAAGAAGAAACAGCAAACTAACTTCAGCTTTGCATGGTCCCTTCCCATCCCTCATAGGTGATCCCTCCCATCATGTGGCAGAATCAAATCAACTTATTATGATGCTATTTTTAAGTTATGTTTTTATTGGTAGCCACTGCTTTCCCATAAATGTTTCACTTATTTTAAAATACAGATAAGACTTAGAAATAGTTTTTATACATCTTTCCCTTTTAAAAAATATTTTATTTATTATTTTCTGTGTGTGAGTGTATTGCCTGCATGTATATAAGTGCACCCATGTCCTGGAGGTCAGAAGAGGGTATTGGATCCCCTGGAACTGGAGTTATCCACAGTTGTTAGCTGCCATGTGGGTGCTAGGATGTGAACCCAGATCCTCTGCCAGAGCAGTCAGTGCTCTTAATTGCTGAGCCATCTCTCCAGGCCTATCTTTCCCTTTTCTAAATCTTAAACAACATAGGTACTCTAACACAGATAAAGGAGATAGGACAGTCTCTTAGTAAAACCTCAACCAAAAGAGAAGATCTGAGAAAAACTAAATCAGTAACTTTCTATTTGGAGCTGATTCCAAAGGGTTCATTAGGTACTTTGTCTTAGACATGTTCCCACTTAGACAATTAAGATGCAGTCCCCCATAACAAGCTTTTCTAGAGTGCTAATGCTATGGAAGATAAAGCAGATGCTTTAAGGCAATAAGGTGGAAGTGTGAATGGGTCCAGTCAGGTGAAGAAACACCTATGTCATTCGTATTAAATATCTTTTTGCATGACCACTTTATTGTTATAGATACACATATGGAAAGCCTGTTCCTGGTCTGGTGACAATTAATGTGTGCAGAAACTATTTGCAATACCCTTTCACCTGCCATAGCCAATATTTACAAAAGATCTGTGAAGAATTCAGTCAACAGGTACACGGAAACCACCCCCCAGTTCCTTCTTGTGGGCTACAATGCTAAATGCAACACAATAAGCAATATATTTAAAATGTCATCAAACAAAATTTTGAAGCAAGGAAAAAATTATAAGATCGGCTGGCAGTGCTAAGAGCCCAGATGAAGGCTAGACTTATGAGGCTATAGTTGCATTCATTTGACCATTTTTGTAGTTTTCTTGCCAACAGCAACCAACATGCCAAGATAAATTCTAAAAGAATAAAGAGGTATTTAAAGTTGGCTTTTGTCCAACAGATCACAGAAGAATGGGACAGGTTGTTAAGAGCTAGGCTATTGGGAGGATCCAATGGCATGTCATTTCTAAGTCACAAAGGGGAGAATATTGAGTATTATATGAGTATCAGATCCAGAAGAGATAAGTATAGAAAGGATAAGGATATCTTACCCTTCTTACCTAGAAGGCTAAGAAATTGGAGGCCCCAGTGATATCACAGAAGAGGTTTAGTAAGAATAAGGAAAACAACTAGGAGTAGAATATGTTGTTTTTTGTTGTTTTTTTTTTTTAATGGCAGGGCTGGAGTGATGGTTCAGCAGTTAAGAGTGCTGGTTGCTCTTGCAGAGAACCTAGGTTCGATTCCCAGCACCCACATAGTGGCTAACAACTGTCCATAGCTCCAGTTCCAGGGAATCATATGCCCTCTTCTGATCTCTGTGGGCATTACACAACATGGGTGTACTTACACACATGCAGGCAATATACTCATACACAAAAAAAATAATAATAAAATATTTTTTAAAAATTGGATGTAGCTAGGTACAGTGGCCCACACCTGTAATCCCAGCACTTGGGTGATGACAGTGCATGAGAATGTCTCAAAAAAAATTGGATACATAGTCAAGCATGGTGGACACACCTTTAATCCCACACCCAGGAGGCAGAGGCAAGTGGATCTCTGTGAGATCAAGGCCAGCCTGGTTTACATTGCAAGTTCCAGGTCAGCTGGGGCTACAGGGAAACTTTGTCTCAAAAAAAAAAATGTACACATAAATATGGCACCCATGGAACTGCTAGGAGATTTAACATGGTAGCAATGGGATCCATTTTTAGAAGATGGGAGAAGGTGATGGCCAGCAGTGAATAAGACAGTAATTAATAAAGAAATCTTGTCATTCTCGGGGTTGGGAAGAATAAACACCAAAAATTCATTTGAACACTTTCAGATTTTCCACAGACTGATAAGCAACATTTTGGAAGTAAATCAGTGGACTTCTCTCCCCTTCTCTTCAGGCAGATAATAAAGGATGTTTCACACAAGTCATAAAAACCAAAGTATTTCAGCTAAGACAAAGAGGATTTGACATGAAGATACAGGTGGAAGCCAGCATCAAAGAGGAGGGAACAGGTGTGTGTGACTTTAGATATATGTAAACTAAGTGGGTATTTATCAAATTTTTATTCCATTTTAAATATTTTATGGTTTCTGCATATTATGAAAATGACGTCTCTGCTCTCTAGAAATTAAATGTTTAAAAACAGAAGGTGTGTGTGTTTGTGTGTATGTGTATAAATAGCAAATTGCTTGTTAAACAGCTTCTATAGTGTAAGTGTGAGAAATTCTGGAAAGAACAAGAAAATACCAGTGATGTATTGTGAAAATGGAGTAAAACTTTGGGGGGGTATGGCAGAAGGTAAGTTTGGGATACACAGAACTGACTTCATTTTGTTCTTTTTCAGGGTTGGAGTTAACTGGTTATGGATCATGTGACATCACAAATACCTTAAGCAAACTGACATTTACCAAAGTAGATGCACATTACAGACGTGGACTACCTTTCTTTGGGCAGGTAAAATATCTTTTCACCACAATCCTATTTGCGGACATGATTTTTTTGTGTGTATGTGTGTGGTACACATATATGTATATATGTATGTCCCCATGTGCAGGAGTGCACTTGTGTCCAAGTACATGTGCACCTGTGTAAGCATGTGTGTGGAGACCCAAGGTTAACATCTTCTTCAGTCTTTCTTGAGCTTATTCATTGAGGCAAAGTCTCTCAACTGACACAGAGCTTGCCAATTCCTCTAGTCTAACTAGCCGACTTGTTCCAGGGATCCCGTCTTGACCTTTCGAGCAGTGGAATTTCAGACAAGCTGTCACACCCACCCAGCATTTATGTGTGTACTGGGGATCCAAACTCCAGTCCTCAGGCTTGTGCAACAAGCACTCTACCCATTGAGCAATCTCCCTAGCCCCAGGCATGAAATTATTAAGAAAAACTTTTTACTTGTAAAATTAAAATAAATTATAAAGAGAACACTTGCATTTTAGTTTGCCTCTCTATTGCTGTGATAAAATACCGACTAAAACCAACTTGGGGAGGAAAGAGTTTATTTCCTCTTATACTTCAAAGGCATAGTCCATCTTTGAGGGAAATTAGGCAGGAGCTCAGGCCAGGAACTCAAAGTAGGAACCTGGAGGCAGGAGCCGAAATACAGACCACGGAGGACTGCTGCTTACTGGCTTTGTCCTCTGGCCTGTGCCCAGCCTGTTTTCTTATACAACCCAGGACCACCTGGCCAGGGATGGCAGCATCCACAGCAGGCTAGACCCTCCCACATCACTCAACAATCAAGAAAATACCCCACTGTCAAGCCCACAGGCCAATCCACTAGAAGAAATTCCCCAGTTGAGGTTCCCTCTTCCCTAGTGTGTCAAGTTGACAGCTGAAGCTATCCAACACAATTTAGATTAAGAAATCATAGCAAATTTCAAATTTAACAAGAATTTTTATTTTTTAATATTTTATTTATTATTTTTATTTTATTTATTATTTTTATTTTATTTATTATTTTTATTTTATATGTATGGGGCATTGCCTACATGGATGTAAATGCACTCGTGTCATGCAGTGCCCTCAAAAATCAGAGGGTGTCAGATTCCCCTGGAACTGGAGCTAAAGATGGTTGTTAGCTGCCATGTGAGTGCAGCCAGTGTTCCTAACCTCGGAGCCATCTCTCCAGCCCCTTGACAAGGATTTTTTAAATGTTAGAACATAAAGTGTATTTTAAATTATAACTTCCTCACAAGCCTCTATATTACATTTTTTTTCTGTATAGTTTGGCTATATTGACTTTGAGTGCCTCTTTATAAAGAATGTTTTCTAATGCAATTTTTCTTAGAAATAAAAAGGTAATTGTGTTAGTAAACTTTTCATCATTATAGCAAGATACCTGAGGTTTTATTGTGGCCCAGAGTCTGGGAAGTTCCTATCTATAATCAGTTGGGTCAGGAAGAGCAGGACAAATTCCTCCTCTTATGACAAAAAGAAAAAGAGAAAGAGGCAGCGCCAAGATTCCAGTCTTCTTTGGCCTAAGGAACTTCAACTCAACCCCCCTCTGCCCCACCCCACTCCACCCCTGCCAGCAGCAACACACTGGGACCCAAGTCCTGGCCAACATTTAACATCTGAGCCATAGAAATTGTCTTAAATCTAGATGAAAATAATTTTATTACTGAAATTTTTAGAGTTCTTTTCAGCTTCAAATCTCAGTAACAGGAGCTGGAGAGATGGCTCAGGCATTAAGAGCACTGGCTACTCTTGCAAAAGACCTGAGCTTGGTTCCCAGTACCCACATGGTGGCTAACAAGCAGTTTAAGAGGATCCAGTGCCCTCTTCTGGCCTCTATGGGCATTGAACACACAGGTGCACTTCGATCTATGGAGGCCAAATACTCATATACATAATTTTTTAAAATTTAAACATGTTTTTTAAAAAGCTCAAAGACAATAATAGCAATGTTGATAAATTTTAAGACTGATAATGCAATTTAGTAAACTGCTAATTTCCTTTTATACTAGATATCTAAGACTTCCAAGCAATTTTTAACTTGCTTTCATTGCAAATATTCTTTGAACTGAGTTTATGGGCAATTTCCTCATTTATATTTTGAAGTTTTTATCTGAATTTCAAATTTTGCATTTTCTTCATGCATTCTAGTATTTCATATCACATTAGAAAGAAATTTATAAGTATGTTGATACCATTTGGCTAGGCCATTGCAAATACAGAGAAAAAAATCATAAGAAAACTAAAAGGGTGTCTATGACTTGGCTAGAAATTGAAGAGAAAAGGAAAAATGGCCAATATCCTAGGTGAAAACTAAAAGGTAGCCAGTGTGGCTGCAGCTAAGGTGAAAGAGATAGCCGAGTTTACTGACTCAGTGTAGGTAAGCTGCATTGATCCTGAGGACTTTTCAGAATATGAAAAGAATCTTGGATTGAGAAATTATTGATGGTTTTAAGAAGAATGATATGATCAGATCAGAGAGTTGGGGGAATGGCCCATTCAGTAAAATACTTGCTGTGCTGAATTCAGATCCCCAAGAACCCTTGTAAAAAGGCAGACACAGCAATGGATACCTGTGATCCCAGCCCTGGCATAAGAGGATCCTTGGGGTTTGCTGGCTAGTCAGTGAGTTCCAGGTTCAATGAGAGACCACAACTCGAACAAAGTGGAAGGCAATGGAGAAAGACACCTGATGTCAACCTCTGACCTCCACATGCATATGCATGTATGATGTGCACCTGTATGCACACATGTGCACACAAATACATATATGCACACACATACACACACAAACTATGGCCAGATCAACTCAGATTATATAGAGAACATTTTACAGCAGTGCCGAAGTAGCAAAAAGGCAAATTTCACAAGATTAATTAGAAATCTGTTGGCAATTCATTGGGGGAAATATTGTAGTTTTAGCTAGTATGTTAACACCAGATTTGGGGGTAAGTAGGATAAAACATTTGACATAAAGGGAGACAATACTTAGCGATGAGTTAAGAGACCTTCAGTATTATTTCATAAACTTCTTTCATTCCATTTCCAAAATCATCAAAAGAAATGTTTTAAAGAAATACAGTTTCAAGCTTAGAAAACAAGCTGAGCTCTTCAGTCAAGGACAGGGCGTGAGCAAGCGTTGTAAAGACGGGAACAGTACAGACTGGAAACAGCGTGGCTACCTCACATTTGTGACCAGCTTTCACTTTCTTATTTCTAGGTTCTTCTTGTTGATGAGAAGGATCATCCAATCCCCAATAAAAATGTAACTGTCCATGTAGACCTGGCTAGGTACCAGTCCACTTATACTACGGATGAGCATGGCTTGGCCAGCATTTCCATTGACACCTCCAACTTTACATTTTCGCTCATGGGAGTCACAGTAAGTGGAAATGGGCATCTGGGACAGAAAAGGCTTAGGTCATTGGGATACACAATTTAAGGTTGTATGAGGAGCATGACCTCTAGAGACAAAGGAAAAGATGATAACTAATAACATAAATTAAGCAACTGAGACCTAAATCATAAAAGAAAATTCTGTTAGAAAACTTTTGCCTTAAGACACACTGTTTATAGTCTGGTCTGGTGTCAGGAAATGTTGGATAATCTTGGTATTTCCTTGAAACTTTTAATATAGTCAGAGTTCTACCACCAGTTACATGATGTCTGGCTTCTTTGGCATAATATAGTTTTTGACTTGTGCTGAGCACTCGAATGGTTTTACTAATTTAAAGCCATGAGAATATGCAGCAGTGGACACCTGCACAAGACTCATACAAGACTAGACCCTCAATATTCCCTCATGGCTCATTAGGCCAGCTATAGATAAATGTTGAGAAGGAGAGGAGTCACATTCCTCAGTGGTGTAGTTATCGGTACAGTGCCCCCACTCAAGTAAAAAGAACACCCAGAGGTGCTCAGGCAGGCAACCCTAATTAAACGCAGTGGGTCCCACACATGTACAAAAAAGATATGAGAGTAGGAAGGGACTTGGGAAGAAGAGATTTGGTGGGATGAGTGATAAGAGAGAATAGTGAGGGGACTTTGGTCAAAGAATATTATATACGTGCCTGTGAAGTTGTAAAAGAATAAACAAGCTGGGTGTGGTGGCACACGCCTTTAGTCCTAGCACTCAGGAAGCAGAGGCAGGCAGATCTCTGTAAGTTCAAGGCCAGCCTGGTCTACATAGTGAATTCCAGGTTAGCTGGGGCTACAGGGAGACTGTCTCAAAAAGACTAAAAAAATAAATAAATAAAGCAATGAAATAATTGTTCTTGCTTACAAATCAATAGCTGAACCATGTAAAAGCTTGCATGATAGGGCACACCTGTAATTCCAGCACTCAGGAGGCTGAGGCAAGAAGACTGAATTTCAAAGCTGGCCTGAGATACAAAAGCTTAAATGATCTTAAGGGGACAGTGAGAAGATGGTTATAGATGTAAGAAAACAGCCTCTTTATGTGAAAAATAGATGTTATAGATGACAGATGAAGATAGATAGATGTATGATTGATAAATGATTGACAGAAAGATGACAGATACAGATATAGTTGATCAACAGATTAAAAGTAGATGAAAGATATCAGATATAGACAGTTATAGATAAAGATGTTTGACAGACAGATAGATATCAGGTAGATAGATAGTTAATAGGTAATAGGTAGACAGATAGGTAGATATTAAATAAAAATATACTATTTATTTTTCCATTAGGTTGTTTATAAGTACACCGATACGTGCTTTGACAACCGGTGGCTTCCTGAGCAGCATATTCAAACACATCACTCTGCAAGTCATATTTTTTCCCCAAGCTTGAGTTACGTTCATCTTGAACTTGTTCTTGGTACTTTGACCTGTGGGCAAACTCAGGAGATTCGGGCATACTACATGTTGAATGGAGAGATCTTGGGGGATGAAAAAGAGTTAACCTTCTATTATCTGGTAAGAATAAGTCACTGCAACTCTTTCTAATTCTGCTGGGTTCATCTCAGAATAATAAGTTTTATAGTATATCAATGTTAATATAGGAGTTTTGTTTTTCTTACTGGAAGATAAATTGCTTCCTATGAAATAGTTGCGGCTTTAAGTCATCATTTGTCCTGGTCACCACTGAAACACTAACTATAAATAACATTTCTTTAATTCTATGGGAAAAAAAGCAAAAACAATAGTTAAAATTTCAGTTTTACTTCTTCATAGTCATGTGACCTTGGATAATTTACTAGGCCTCATCTGCAAAAAGGAGTATCAATCAGCTCACCATAAATACTACAAATAATAGTCCATGGGATTTTACAAATTAAATAGCTAAAATTAAATTAGTTCAGAGTCAGGTACATAGAAAAGGAGCAATGCATTTTATTTAAAAATAAAAGCAATAGGGGCTAGAGAGATGGCTCAGCAGTTAAGAGCACTGACAGCTCTTGCAGAGGACCTGAGTTCAATTCCCAGCACCCATATGGCAACTAACAACTATCTGTAACTCCAGTTCCAGGGGATCTGACACCCTCTTCTGATCTCCGTGGGCACTGCATGATACAGATGCACTTATATGCAGACAATACACTCATATACATCAAATAAAAAAATAATAAATAAAACGTTTAAAAATAAGAGCAATAGTAAAGAACACATATTTAAATTTTCATTTATTTTTATTTTATGTGTATGAGTGTTTTGCATGCATGAACATATGCACACTATATACATGGAGTGCCCACAAAGGCCCTAAGAAGACATAGGATCTCCTGGAAATGGAGTTACAGGAGGTTGTGAGCTGCCATGTGGGTGCTGGGAACTGAACCTGGGTCTTCTGCAAGAGCAATATGCGCTCTTAACCACTGAGCAATTGCTCCAGCTCTCATAGAATACTTATATTTTATACCTGCCTTCACTATATATTGCTTTGCATATAGTTGGCACTTAAAATGTGTATAGAACATATAAATTTCATATATTGCTATTTACTAGAAAGAGTGAATACTAAGCAAAATAAAATGTAAAATTATTCATTTGTTATTTTAAGATATATAAGCACATATAGGAAAGTGTTGGAAGGGAAATTTAGCAAACAAAAATAGCCTCTAAGTTGTTTTAACTATTGAAATTGTAATAACTGAAATTGTAACTGTTACTTTTTCATAGAATTAAACAAATGTTAGTGTTTCAGTGGTGATGATTGTTTCAGTGTTTCAGTGGTAATATGATTGTTATTATATATCGTGAATATATTGAAGTAAAATAGACTGACCTTAAAACATTAATGAATGTATTTTCTTCTATCTTCAGCTCAAAGCAAGAGGAAGCATCTTCAAATCAGGAATCCATGTGCTGTCCATTGAACAAGGAAACTGTAAGCATTTTCCCTGTCTTTCTGTCTTCTCATCTTGCCAAACCCTGAACAGCTGGGCCAGTTGGAGTCCTTTTCACATTACAGGGCATGTTTGGCAGCCTGCCATCCAGTGGGTAAGGCTGTGGGATAAGGTGGTGCACTGGGCTCATTTTAGCTCATAGAGTACTTTCACTTCTTTTCACAACATTTCTGTGGTTTCACCTTTATTCCTGAAGTACAATATATTAATTTTATCATCGCCTTTTTGTTTTGTTTTTGTTTTTGTTTTTGAGACAGAGTCTCCCTGTAGCCCCAGTTGGCCTGGAACTCTCTATGTGGAGCAGGCTGGCCTCAAACTCATAGAGATCTGCCTGTTTCTGCCTTCCTACTGCTGGGACTAAAGGCCTGCACCACCACACCTGGCCTATATCACTACTTTTAAAAAGCAAAAAATAATTGAAAAGTGTAGAAAATAACCAAAGAAAATTTTTTCTTCATGTATTTGTGTGTCTGTTTCCTATTGCTGCTGTGATAGATTACCACAAATTAATTGGCATAAACAACACAAATGTATTATCTTGTATCTCTGTTCAGAAGTCTCACTGGGCTAAAAATCAAGGTGTAGACAGGATTGCCTTGCTTCCAGACCTCTAGTGAAAACCCAGTGTTCTTACCGCTAAGTGCCTCAGGCAAGCCTTGCTTTGTGGTCAAGCCAGCAGCATGCCATCTTCAATCTCACCTGCCTGTCTCCCTCCTATAATGATCCTTGTAATGACATTGACTCCACCTGGATGACTAAGACCAATCTTCATATATATAATTTTTTAATAAATCATGTGTCCAGGGATTTGTCCATTTCTTCTAGATTTTCAAAATATATTGGTGTATAGTTTTTCAAAAAATTATTATTCATCTGAATTTCTGTGGAACATGTAATTTTTTTTTAATCGGTCTTTTTGAGACAGGGTCTCCCTGTAGCCCTAGCTGGCCTGGATTCACTATGGAGACCAGGCTGGCCTTGAACTCACAGAGATCCACCTGCCTCTGCCTCCTGAGCACTGAAATTAAAGGCATGAGCCACCACTCCCAGCGGAACATGTAACTCTTTTAATCTGTATTTTTATCTAGTTGGGTCATCTTTCTGGGTTTTTTGGGGGGGGGGAGTTAGTGCTAAATGTTTATCAATTTTGTTTATTGTTTACATGTTTTAGTCTATATTTCTGCTCTGATCTTGTTTCTTTTCTTCTATTAATTTGGAATAAGGTCTTCATTAGGTTATTTACTTAATACCTTTTTAAAATTTTTTATTATTTTTATGTGTATGAATGTATTGCCTGCATGTATGTAAGTGCACCTGTGTCATGCAATGCCAAGGAAATCAGAAGAGGGCTTCAGATTCCCCTGGAACTGTAGTTAAGGACAGTTTGTAGCCGCCATGTGGGTGCTGGGAATCGAACCCGGGTCCTCTGCAAGAACAGTCAGTGCGCTTAACCGCTGAACCATTTCTCTAGCCCCTACTTAATACCTTTTTAATGAAAGCTCTATATTGAACAACATAATTCATTCCCAGGACTGCTCTTGCTACATCCCACAGTCTGTGTGCTGTGATTCCTATTCTCATTTGGTTCTAGGAAGTTTTTAATTCACCTTTCCAATTTATTCAACAATGCACTGTTGCTTCAAAAGCACATTGTTCAATGTCTATGAGTTTGTAAATTTTCTGTAGTTAATCCCACTGCTGACTTCTAGCTTCATTCCATTATGATCTGATATAATTATTTCAAAATCTTATATTTGTGAGGACTTGCTTTATTGTCTAAAATTTTATCATTTTGGAAAAAAGTTCTATGTGCTAATGGAAAAAAGTATACTATAGCTGGGTATGGTGGTGCACGCCTTTAATCCCAGCACCTGGGAGGCAGAGGCAGGTGGATCTCTGTGAGTTTGAGGCCAGCCTGGTCTCCATAGCGAATCCAGGCCAGCTGGGACTACAGGGAGACCCTGTCTCAAAAAGACCAAAAAAAAAAAAGTATATTATACAGCTGTTGGATGGAATATCCTGTCAATGTTTATTAATTCCAATTGATCTATAGAATAACTTAACTCTGATGTTTCCTTGTTAATTTTTTTCTCATTTATTGCTGAGAGTGGGGTATTTAAGTGACCCATTAATATTGCATTGGGGCCTGTTGAGCTCCTGATCCTGATCCTCCAGCCTCCAACTATGAGGTGCTGAATTTACAGGTGTGTGCCACCACACACACCCTGTTTACAGGGATTTGAACACTGGGCTTTGAGCATTTTAGGCAGGCATTCTGACAACTGAGCCATATCTCTAATCCCTGTTGTCATCGACCTGCTAGAAAGGTCTCTACATATCTTCCTAAAGTGGGCTTCTAGTAGCTCAGGCAGGTGAAATAAAAATGGCAGAATATATAGGGTGTGCTCTCTCTGCTTCTTCTTCCAGACTTGTTAGCAGTGGGAAGTCTGATTAGTCTGATGAAGGAGCAATGTATGCATTGGTCCTTCTAGATATGATTTCCACACTTGTGTTATTTCTCTCTGCTGTTATTACAGTGGTGAATGTCCAGGAGTGAGTCTTCAGCCCTTGTGCCCAGCCATGCCTTCTTAGAACTGGGTCATCAGCTGGGAACCTTTACTTCCTCCATTATTTAAATTGAAGTGTATCTGTCATGGCTTGAATGGATTGTGTTGTGCAGTAAAATTAAGTCTTCCTCAGCAAGCTTGGGAGTGTATCTCAATATCAGACCTCTGAGACTCAGCATGCTCTGTCAGGCTTGGTCCCAGCATTGAACAGAAAGAAGCAGGCAGACAACAATAACTAGGTGAAAGAAACCAACAAAAAGTAAAGTAAAACCTAGATTTTAAAAAACCATAGCAACCATTTAGTAGTACTGCTGCAGGCTCTCAGAGACAAAAAAGCAGGACTTCTAAGAGCTGAGAACACCAATGAAACCTTCCTAAGGTGGTCCCTTACTAGATGGTACATAGCTTGCTTGCACTAGGAACTACGGATCCCCCCCTCCCCTCAGGAAGTATATAACTTTGAGTCCATTTAGTGTTGCTCATATGTACATATCTTTGGGACTGACCACCTGGGATCAGATAACCTGTCAGGGGACTCGCTCCTGATTCTCCCTCCCTCAGGATCCACTGCCTGCCTGTGGTTCTTCAACTATGGATGGGCCCTTATGGGCTTTCCTCTATCCCGGTTGGCATGTTGACTGGTATTGTCATTATGCTGCTATTATGCATGTGCTGGATAGCTTTAGTGTCAACTTGACACACCTGGGTTGAGGGAGCCTCAATTGGGGAATTGCCTCCTGTGGCCATGTCTGTGAGGCGTCTTCTTGAATTTCGTGTGATATGGGAGGGTCCAGCTCATTGTGGGTGGTGCCACCCCTGGGCAGATGGGCCTGTGTTGAATAAGAAAGCAGGCCAAGTGGGGGCCAGGAGAGCAAGCCAGTAAGCAGAGTTCCTCCATGGCCTGTGTTCCAGCTCCTGCCTTCAGGCTCCTGCCCTGAGTTCCTACCTTGGGCTCCCTGATGAACTGCGACCTGGGAGATGTAAGCTGAATAAACCCTTTCCTCCCCAAGTTGGTATTGGTCAGAGTATTTTGTCACAGAAATGAAGAAACAAACTAAGACAGAAATTGGTACCAGAGAATGGGATATTGCTGTGACAGACCTGACCTTGGTGTTTTGGGGAGGACTGTGGAAGTGTTTGGAACTTTGGGCTGGAAAAGCCATT